ATTTTTTAACAAGAAGTCGAAAATATACTTTTTACCAAAAATGACAAAAATATTCACCAAAATTAGAGAATTGAAGATATCAACATGAAATGAACAAACCTAAGAGAGGTCTACCCAAGGTACATATACATCAAGTATCAAAGCATTCAGGCTTGTAGTTTTCAAGAAGAAGTCGAAAAAGTAAAACATTGACACGGACGACGGAGACGGACGACGACGACGGAGACGGACAATCACTCATATGATAAGCTCCGCTCGACAAAGACGACAGCGGAGCTAATAGAAGAGGTCTTACAAAAAGAAATTTAAAAAATAAAAAAAAAATCCTAAGCGCATATTTTAGCACATTTACATGTAGGGGTAGCAAGAATTTTGTGTCAAAATCTGTTTTAGCATTACCGTAGTTTGAGAACTGTTTTGGTTCACTGTCAATCTGTTTTTTGAAGAAAAAAAATGTTAAAATATTATGCATAAAATGCCATTTTAGCAGAGGTTTCCATAGACCACAATGAAAACATTTCCTTGATAAAAACCTACTAAAAATATTGTAATTTTTTTCAGTACTCCTTAATTGTAAGTCACTATATATTCTTTTTCACCATACGTCACCAAGCAAAATTTTGAGATATTGAGATGTACACTGCCGAAATAACTCCCTCAACCGTCTTCTGCAAGTAACCTCTGATTTCAATTATAGCGGAGACAACATTGTTTGCAATTTCGCATATTTCTGGCTTGACAAAGAGGTACGCACCCCAATATGTATTCGGCAGAGTATAAAGAAATACTGCGATTTATAGATTTATAGCTCTACAGGAAAACGAAAAATGTTGTATGATATTGCGAAAAATTACTACTGAACTGAACCAAGAGAAGAAACTTTTTAAAGACACTGAAGATAAAAAACGTAGAACAGATCACGGTACGGAGAAGTGTTCTTAGCAAGTTTATACTGATAATTGTTACACATATCACAATGGTAAATTTGGATGACAATAACTTAAGCGAATAGGCTATTTTAGCTACCGTGTATCCTGTTTATTCAAGATACCTAAATCATATATTGTCACAAGACTCATGACTGTTTCTTTTTTCCATCAGCTCAACAGGATAATATTCTGATATGCATCAGGCCATGTAAAGAAACAACAAAACAAGCACGACACCAAAATCATTTTCAGACATGTTGTTTTTATAAGTAATGGAGAACGCTGTTATGATCAGCTCTGAAAGAACTTGATTGAACTCTGGCGGATCTCGGCTCTAATTCAGCCCTGACAGTTTAAAACATTGTCTCGTCAGTCAGTTTATTTCAGAATTCAAGCTTTTTCATATTATTTTTTCACCAGGGTATCTGTATAAGATCATATTTTTGGCCAGCGAGTAGTTCTTTTATTTAACTATTTTACCAGTAGCGATACATTTTCGCAACAAATTGTCATACATTTACCCAGACATTTTTCCTGTTTGACTTTTGAGGTGATTGAAATGAATTTTATTTACCCTTCTTCTTGGTGCGAATTTGTCTTTGATTTTGACATTTTATGATCGAAACATATCATTAAAAATTGATTGGCTGATTTTTTATTTGTTACACCATATTTTATTTTTGTTAAAGGAAAGAGTTCCTTTTGTACCCCCATCCCTAACCCTACCCCTACCCTCCAGCACTCCCCATTTAATTGTACATGCCTCCTCCTAAGGACATCTATAATTATCTAGAGGGGGCATATACAAATGAATTGGGTAACAGGAAGTGTTAAAATTAGGGTTAGGGATGGGAGGTACAAAAGGAAATGGCGACGTTTTGAAATGACAATGTGCGCTACAAATATTTTTATATGAAATGCAGCTAAAAAGTAGCTGAATAAATCGCTTGATGTGCTTGTAACTAAACATCTTCTAGTTGTAGGTTTTTAGGTGATTAAAAAAAAAAATATTTTTTGACAGAAACTGCAGTTTGTAAACATTGGGTATGGATCCAAAATTAGGGTGGGGTATAGATCTGATTGGCTTATGCAAGAGGAAAAAAAATTAAATAATCTCATTTGTATAACAAAAACCCAGCATACACAAGGTCTTTAATTATGCTGTACAACTTTAGCCAGTCGAGCATAACTTTTTGTAGAGAATTTAGTGATGCGTATAATTTATGCTCAGTGTGATACTTGTTCCTTAATAGAAATCAACTTCTCGCAGACAAACAAAAATAAATTTCTCCTTTCTGAACGCCAAATTATCCAATCTTGCCTGCAAACCAAGGTAACAGAACCAGGGATGTGGTACAAATCATGTATAACAGTACCTCACAGTTGACACCTTCCGACAAATTCAAAATGGGGTTCAACAATAATGCTAATTAGAATTTTCCTCTCTAT